CGGCAGCGATTGCCAACGCGGGCACACGGTTGACGTGGGGGCTATTTGGACCCGACTGATCAAACCAGAGCCCAAAAATTGTTAGGATTGAAACCGGACCCAAGAAAGCAAAGCAAGGGACGTTGGGCGCGCACCTCTGTTAGCGTCTTGAGCTACAAAGGTAACGGGGGAAAAAAATCCTCGGGATATGTGTGTGTGTGTGTGTGTGCGCGTGTACTCCCTGGTGATTGCGCAATACATGCCAAGTCCCCCACAGTCCAAGCAAATTGACATGCTCGGCTGGTTGGCTGCTGCAGTGTGACTGACAGCTGCCAGGGGAGCTTCACCCAATCAGCTTCCAGTGTCATTAAACGCCACAACTGTGCACCAATAAAAACTGATTAAAGGTACAATAGTCAAGTGCCGTGTGTGTGTGTGTGTGTGTGTGTGCGCGCGCATGCATCTGTCTGTCCATCATCAGGGAAATCAGACTTTTTAGCGTGTTTATCTGCTCAGCCAAATGCCTCCCTCGACATTCATCGAGTGCCGGTCATTAGCATTGTGCTCGCATAGCATCCATGGAGGCGCTTGCATGTGTGTGTGACTGAGGATACGTGAAGGACAACATTAGTCTTTGTCTTTGCCCCCCCCACACCCCCATGAAGCCTGCTTTGAAACTTTTGGTTTTGGTTTCAATCCACAAACACATTTGGAAGCTACCAAAATAAAAGTCAAGATTGCATTACCTTTAGTGGCCACACGGACGCAGTCAATCTTTGTCTCCTGTGAGAGAACACACACACACACACACACACACACACACACACACACACACAGGTTGTAAACAGAATGGACAGAAGGAAAATGGCTGTGGCTCAGCCTGTGGCATTTAACAGTCAACACACACACACCGCAGACACACACACACACGCACACACACACACACACACACAAACAAACGCACTGACACGGTGACTGGGTGCAAAGTGAGATGGAACATCTTGTGTCTTTCTGGTTTTAACAAACAGATGACAAATTAACCAGTAGAGCTCATGCATATTCATGCCCACACGCACATTCGCTACGGCATGCGCTACGGGAGTGTGTGTGTGTGTGTGTGTGTGTGTGTGTGTGTGTGTGTGTGTGTGTGTGTGTGTGTGTGTGTCTGCGGTGTGGTGACAGTGAAAAGCTCTCCAGTCGCTGCATAATTCAACACACACACATACACACCCCAATTAAACCTCCAAGCGTCAATAATTAACACACACATAACACAATAACATCTTGTGTGTGTGTGTGTGTGTGTGTGTGTGTAGTAAACAATTATCTCTCTCTCTCTTTCTCTCTCTCACACACACACAAACACACAAACTAGCAGGAGCTGCTCTCCAATCCAAGTGTGTGTGTGTGTGTGTGTGTGTGTGTTTTTCGAGGTTTATGCCTTTATGGGGACCAGATGGAGTCGAAGTTAAGGGCTCACATGAGTGTGTGTGTGCGTGTGTGTATACCCCGTTAGCACTGCTGACTGCCTGGTAGTAGATGGCGTAACTCTTGTGAGGCAGTAGAGGAACATTCCAGAATCCTCCATATGTGTTGTTATCACCTAGGCAGCAACACACCACAGCATCTTCATCGTTCTCTTGATTCCAACCACCATCATCCTCATCCTCAAATCGAGCATCATCATCATCATCATGTTCATCACTGTCACCATCACATCATCACATCTTCGTCCTCCTCAACATCCCCGCCGCCATCGCTCTGCTCATTGAATTGTCGCCGTGGTCCTCACCGACGCAAAATGGCGTGGGCTTGTTGATGTGGCTCACAGCGAGCTCGGCGCTAAAGTAGTAGTGCGAGTTGAGCTGCGTGGAGTTCATGAAGTGGACGGGCACAGGATAGCAGCGTAAGATTTCAGCAGTGCCCCTCGTCTGCCTGCGGGGGCGCTCCTCCTCCACCACCACCTGGTACTTGCTGCGCGCACACACACACACACACACACACACACACACACACACACACACACACACACACAAATTAGCTTTAGCGGTCAGCTAGTTAGCTAGCGGACGGTTCACTGCTGCGCTCATTTGCTCTCTGTTCACAAACGCACACAAAAAAAAAAACGTCACTTTTTGATTTTTTTCGGATGACATCATCATTGGGGTCACGGGCATGCCGGAGCCCGTCGAGACAAGGTACGCCCAGAAGGGGTCGCCAGCCAATGGCAGTCCACAATGAGACGAACAAGCGGTCGCCCGCTCGGGACAACTTCGATGAATCAGGCACGCGTGTTTTTCGAACGCCACCTCTTGAAAAACAACTTGTTTGTGTGACGGAAAAACTTTGGAGTGGAGTTTTGCACTTAAATCGCACGAGCGCGTGCTGAAATATTGAACGGCATCAATCTTCCACTTTATTAAGTTTTCATGAGAAAAGCATGAAAGATTTAAAGGACATGTTGACAAGATCAAAGTGTCATTTGAATTATTTGACAATGAGATGGCTCTGCACGCGTACGTCTGCGCGCGCACGATGAAAAATGACAGAAATGCTCGCACGCGCGAGGCTTGAAATGTACTTTGGACCTTTTTCGGAGCCAGTTTGCTCATCGGCCGCTCCATTTGAGGAGCAACTTTGGAAAGCAACCGTTCGTAGGCCGACGGCCCCCGGGACAATGGAGACCAAAACACCCGGCTTCCTTTTTGATCAATTCAACCGTTTTGACTTCTTCACGTCACATTGCGAATGGCGGCGAACTGTATTTTCTTGTACAGAAACATTTCCAGTCGGGTCATGTCAAACACAGCAAAAATAAATGTCATGTGTTTCCAAATGCGTCGTATGCTCCTTTAGCGACGCTAAATGCAAAAAATATTAAAAAAATCAAGAAAAAGATGAAGAATTCTCAAAAGTCAAACTCAGCACTCTGTCGTGAAAAGGCTGAAAGCAAAGAAATAATGCGAGTGACATGGTACGTCTTCAAGACACTCCATGAATATCTTTTGAAGCTTGCAATTTCTTTCCATTTGGTTCCATCCTTCCGGATTTCGCCGCAGTTTAGCCGTCGGGCCTAACTTGTGCTCCAGACAATGGGCTCGCTATTGGAACTGTATCGTCTCCTCTTGAACACCGTTCCGGACAGAGTTTGTGAGGAAAGTCTCCTCCGTCTCCAGAAGCGCTTCATTCCAATGTGCGACGACTTCGTGTCACGCGACGGTTAGCTTGGCAATTAGCGAGGCTTCTCCGTATTCTCTCCATCATCCCTCGCTGAGAGCGAGACGCGTCCGAATCGTAGCTTTTTCGCCGCACGCCCGGAGGCGACCGCGTCCCGACTCGGGAGCGACCGCGCAACACGTTTGGCCGCAGCAGCAGCTCGCCGGCAGAAGCGCTTTACTAGCGGATCCCGCGCGTCCCGGCCTTGAAAGCTTTTCGGGACTGCCGCTATGGAAAATTTCCGTTTGGTCTTTTGATCAGGCGCAAATTGTCACTCAGCAAGCGCCGGGCCAAAGCGCTTCTTTCAAGCCGTGCGACGTGCGCGTGCGCGTTTGCAGTTGCCGTTGCTTTTGTTTCTCGCGACATGGCCGCTCGTTGCCATCGGGCACGCACGCGATCATACGCTGACGAAAGGCGGGAATCGCATCGGTGCCACAAAGGCGCGGGCGCACGACCAAAGGAATGCCCGTTGGTGTGCGTTTCACCTGACTGGGGCGCCGCGGCCGCGCGCCGGCCGGAGCAGGACGCTGACGGTGGCGTCGCTTTGGTTGATCGGCGGCTGTCGCTCGTACGTCGGCATGACGGGAGCTGCGAGTGCGAGGAAGAAGCGAGGAGGTGAGATCGCCGGCGAGCGTGCGGGATTCGGATCGGCAGAGCCGCCGCCCCCACCCGAGATCTTGGTGGCGAACCGCGCGACGGCAGGCGGCCCGAAGCCTTTGGCGGTGGCCGCTCTTATTGTGAAGGAGTAGGTGGAGCCCGGGAAGAGGCCGTCGAACGTGTGAGCGGTCTCGTTGGCCGCCTTCAGGACCTTCCCGCTCTGATTGCTCAGGTCCACGTCCGAGTCGAACGAGCTCAGGGCTTTGAAGGAGACCTGGCGGGAGGAAGCGCACGCGTCACTTCCCGTTGGAGGTTTTTCCGAAAGCGCCCGCCGCCGACCCACCTCGTAGTGGCGGATCCGTCCGTACGTTTGCAGCGGCGGCGCCCAGCTGAGCCGGATGTGCTGCTCGTAGCTGCTGCCCCCGATGGACGCCGGCGGAACTGCTCCGGGAACTGCCGAGGCATTCGAGCTAGCGTTAGCGTGAGCGCGAGCGTGAGGGGAGCCCTCGACCGCGAGCGAGCGAGCTCGCGGCCGGTTGGCCTATCGGCTGTGAAGCAGGTTGGCCGGTTAGCCCGTCGAATCACGTCGTACCGTCCTCGTCCGTCAGCACCAGCAGCTCCTCGCTCTCCTTGCGTCCTTCGGGGTTGCTGAGGATAAGCTTGATGCTAACGTTGGTGAAGGGCGTGAGGTCGCGCAGGACGTGCTGCGGCGCCGCGCCCCGCGCCTCGTACGCCGCTTCTTGCCGCTCCTCGGCCTCGGCCGCCCCCGCCGGGCGGTGGCGGTACTGCAGCGTCAGATTGTAGCGGTGACAGCGTGTCACGCTGTAGCCCAACGAGTCCCAGCGTAGCGTCACTTCTTTGGAGCGCACCGACGCCACCTGCAGGCCGCCACAACCGTGCAGTGGCTCTGATGCGCGCGCGCGCACACACACACACACACGCACACACACACACACACACACAAAGTGATTTTGTTGGGCAATAGCCATTTCATATTTTTGTATTCGCATGTTCATGGAAAAAAAATCAAGTTGTTTGCTCGTTTTTGCTGAATACTTGAGTGATATATTTTCGGAAGCCTACTTTTCATTTGGACCGACTAACAAGTCCAACTTGCGAGCACCGTCTCCACCTCTGATCACGTCCAAAGCACTCGAGACTTTTTCAGGGCGTTTCCCGGAACGGTCTGCTGAATGTTGTTTGTTTGCCAGTTGGAGGACCCCGTCACTAGTTGCTCTTGACGGGGTCTTGCTTGCTACATTGGACTGCTTGCTGGATTTCAACTGTGTTGCGTGTTTCAACTTTGGCCTTCAAAGAAGCAACGGAATCGTCATCTTCGAGATTCTCCGACAAACATGCAAATGTGCGCCTTGATGTTTATATTTAGGGTTGCTTTTCTTTCTTCTTACATGCCAGTGCGCTGCTTTGGGCATGCACACGTGCACACACGCAAGCAGGCCCGCACGCGCCCGCCCGCACACACACACACACACACACACACACACACACAGACAAAAGCACACGCACAAGATGGGAATAAAGGGCTCAAGGAGGGATTACCAAGGATCACGTGACTCATAAACCCTTAACACAATCTCATACATCTGACTATTTCCCTCAAACACGCGCGCGCGCGTGTGTGTGTGTGTGTGTGTGTGTGTGTCACTCCACAATTTGAGTTTGACATTTAAATCAAATGATGAGAAAGAGACGGCTGCTCCTGTCATCGTTTTTTTTCAAGTGAAAAGTCAATCAAGCCCTTCATCTTCAGACCACTTCCTGTTGTCCTCACACATGCGCACACACACACACAGAAGCAGAGGGGTTTTTTGTGTGTGTGTGTGTGTGTGTGTGTAAGACAGCTGTGTGTCTTTTGTGCGCGTCGAGCACGTGGCTTCCTGTCACCAAGCTAATTAGCGTGCTATTCACTCGCCTGTGCAGCTGCTAGCGCGTCACCTTCATTACCTTCATCATGATCCCCCCTCCTGCTCATCAACAGCCTCAGCCTCATCTTCATCGTCTTCAACACTTGTTGCTGATGCCATGCGAGAGCATCGTCTTGTTTGCACTCACTAACGAGCTCGGCTAAGCACACACGCACACGCGCGCACACACACACACAGAGCATCCCAATGCCTCACAGTGCAGAGGTATCATATCGGGTTCAATTCCGGCTCCGACCTTCCTGTGTGGAGCTTGCATGTTCTCGCCGGGCCCGCGTGGGTTTTCTCTGGGTACTCCACTTTCCACATACCAAAAACATGCATGGCAGGCTGATTGAACACTCCAAATTTTCCCGCGGTGTGAGTGTGAGCGCGGATGGTTGTCGGTCTCTGTGTGCCCTGCCATTCGCTAGCAACCGGTTCAGGGTGTCCCCCCCCTACTGCCCAAAGATGGCTGGGATAGGCTCCAGCATGCCCGCGACCCTCGTGAGAATAAAAGCGGAATATATACAGTGTGTATGTATATCTCCTCAGAAAAGCATCCACGCACATACGCATGCAGACAGGCCTAGATGAGGCCGGGCTAGAGTGAGTGATGTGAAGTAAGTTAAAATAAAGTATGATGAGAAGCGATGCGTAAAAGGTTGCAAATCCAAGTCATAAAAGTCGAGAAGAAGAAGAAGAAATATAAGCGAGAAAGAAAAAAGGTCTAAAAAGCTTTCAAATGTTTGCTGGCCGAGTTGAGCGTAAAAATGTGACGTGAAAAAAAGAATGACAGTGAAATATTGATATGAGATATTCTAAAAGCCTCGACAAACAGCACACACACTTTAATGGATGTCAACAGCCGCGCGCCTGCGCCCGCGCGCACCGGTCCGTGCGCGCGGGCGCAGGCGCGCTCCCTTTTGAAAGGGCTTCGACTGTTTTACTTTGAAATGACTCACTGACTTCCCACACAATTCTCAGCTCATTTGCATTCCACTTCTACACACGCGCACCAACGCGCGCGCACGCGCACCAGCTGATTTCGCCCTTGTTTACTTACGGATGCTAACTTGGGCGTCATTGTGAGCCCTTCCTCAAGTGGCGTTCTTGTCTGTTCTTCCGTCCGTGTGATCTCGTCACCTTCCCCCACCGGTTGTGGTGGGAATTTTTTTCCCCTCTCCCGCTAAAGGGCAGGTCTAAAAAAATCACTTCAAAATGTATTGGGGAAAAAAAACAGAAAAGAAAAGAAAAATGCTGGAGGGGCTCAAGAGGGGCTCGACAGATTTCTGACAGGGCTTGCGCAACCCGAACGCGGCGTCGTGCCGTCTCTGGGCCCAAGCCAAGTCTGTTTCACGCATTCAACGGGAACACACGCAAGACCACAAACGATGATCATGTTCAAGCAAATCAAAAAGAAGAAAAAGCAGAAAGAGAAGAACCAAGAGCTGTGGCGTCGCACTGAGTCGCCTCACTGGGCTCTAAGTCACAAAGCTTGTATGATGGACACCCTGATTCATTATTTAAGACACACACACGCACACACACACGGATTGTATAATTGATGTGCAGTAATATGAATAAATAAAAGTCACTTGATGACAGCTGAATGTTATCAGAGCGTAAATCATCACGCTGAGTGTGTGTGTAAGGGCCCCCAATTGTCAATTGCGCACGCACACACACACACACACACACACACACACACACACACACACACACACACACACAGACAAATTCACTCCCAAAGGTGAATTTGTTTATGGTGTGTGTGTGTGTGTGTGTGTGTGTGTGTGTTGGGCTAACAAGGAAACAGCCATCAAATTTGTGCAACAGCTTGACAACATTTTGTATGGAGAGCCCTTTGCATATGCGTGTGTGCTAATAAATAACAACAGAATGGGGTTTTAAAAGATCAACAACAATAATCATAGCCTCAACCAGACATACAAGTACAATACCTCATTTGTTTTACAAACACACACACACACACACACACACACACACACACACACACACACACACACACACACATATACACACACACGCACACTTGCTGAAGTGTGCACTGCAGCCATTAGCGGCTAACGAGCGCAGCGCTAGCACTGCCTCATGCGGCCCTGCATTTGAACGATCTGGCAGATAAGCGTGAGCCACCTGACAAGCTGTGCTAACTTGCCACTAATCAGCGACGACCGCGGCTTGCCGCTAATCGTGCCAACGGCGTGACGCAGACGACGCAAATGCAGATATGGGCCTTCGTGCTTCCCATGCTTCGCGCCGGCCGTTCTTCCCTTGAACGCTGCCGCAATATTTCTGGTTGGAATTTTACGGCTCGCTAAAATGGATTCATTCAAATGTACGTGCGTCTTGCGCTGCGACTAATGATGGCTTTCATCATCAGTTGATTCGATTTGAATCTGCTAAAAAAAAAAAATCTTTTTTCCCCCCAATTTGTATTCTTTCAAATGAGCGGGGCAGACGATCCACGGCCACGAACGGACGATGATTCCATCCTCGGCCGAGCGAGCGCGTGATTAGCGGCTAGCTAACGCGTGGCGCTCACCTGCACATTTGGTGCGAGCGCGCAGCGGCGGCCCGGGGTTTCCCGTGCCGCCCTCCAGGGGCCGGGTGAGCAGCACGCTGATGTGGTACTCGGTATCGGGGTCCAGGTGGCCGATTTTGTGGGTGGCCTTGTCCACCGGCGTCGTGTCGATCAACATGCCCGTCGCCGTGCGGTACTCCACCTGAGCGCCAAACGCACGCACGTGTTGTCAGGACGCCGCCGGGACGCAACACCCCGATCGCGGATAGGAAGACGCCACACGTCGTAGCTGACTGCCGTATTAGTCGGGGCAAGTTGCTCTTCAAAGGCAATCACGCGGGGACAAGGAGTCAGAAAGGGTTTCTTTCTCAACCGAGGTTACTTTTTGCTGTCAATACACAACGGCCCCCCCCCAAAAAAATGTGCAAGGTGAGTCCCAGTTCCAGCGGCGACGGCGGCTCACCTCGCGCTCCACGATAGGACCGTCGCCATTGATGGAGTTGGCGTTGAGTTGGATCCACAGGTAGGTGGCGCCCACCGCCGTCAGCTGAGGGGGGGCGATGGGCACGGGGGGCTCTGAGGGACACACAAGACCCAGGTGAGTCGCACGCGCACATGCGCTGTCTCGCAACGAGGGAAAGGAAGGAAGAAGTTGAAGACATAATTAATATTTGTGACCTTCGGCAACATGCGGCAGACCTGGAATTTATTACCCACAATCCCCGCTGGTGCTGCTCTACTTCCTCTTGACCCACTTCACTCGCGCGCGCACACACACACGCACACACACGCACACACACACACACACACACACACACACACACACACACACACACACACAGTTGTGCGTGAGTCCGATGGTGTTTGAGTGACAGTTCAATCAGCTTTGAACAGCTCTGGATTGTAGATGTGTGTGTGTGTGTGTGTGTGTGTGGGGGGGGGTCATTCATGTGACCAACAGTGACCCCTTACCTGTCTCACAGAGACACACACACACACGTGCGCACACATACAAGCACGCCCCAAGAGAATTCTTACGCTTGACAGTGAGGTCGGCGTAGGAGGACACGCCCACTCCGTGCCCCGATTGGCCGATGCAGCGGTAGCGGCCGGAGTCTTCTTTGCTGGTGTTGTCCACGTGAAAGGTCGCCACGTAACGGCGCGAGTTCACCGGCTTGGTTTCCGTGGCAAGGGTGCGACGGCCACTCGCGCCCTGATGTGCACATGAGACATGTATGTGCTGCTCGTCATCCTCATCTCCATCATAACGCGCAGCAGGAGCATCGGCGCGCGGAGCATTATCATGACATCATCCTCATCATCAACATTACCATCAACAGCGGCAGGATCACCTTTTTCACAATCACGCATGGAAAAACCAGCACCGGATTTGTGGGAGCGCGCGACTAAAACGTGTTCAACTAACACATATCATTTGTTTCTTTTTTCGGAAAACACGGGAACATTCCTTTGAGCCCATTTTCATCATGAAAGGATCTTTTTTTCCGTGCATGATCATCACCATCATCATCATCACCATCATGTGACCTACCTGCAGGAGGAGGTGGACGTCGTTGCGAGGGCGACCGCTCACCGTGCACGCAAAGATGGCCGCCTGGCCCGCATTCACTTCCACGCCTTTGATGTGCAGGAAGTGAGGTGCGCTCGCTGAAAAGGCAAACGCGTAGCGGCTCTTAACCCGTGCGGTGAAAGTCACGTTCAAGCTTGAAGATGAAATCCGATTGGGCTAACGCTAACGACATTCATTCGAACGACGCAAAAGTGAAACGTGTTCAAACCGACGAATGAAGGCAAGAGGAGGAGGCGGAGCCTCGTGTACTTACCGCACTGGTGTCCCTGCAGTGATAGGTCTTTGATGGCCACGCCCCCTGCGTACCCACCGCTGACTGCCTCAAACGCCACCTGTCAATCAAGCGGTCAACGCCGTCACTCGAGCGGCATCCGGAGAGGGGGTGCGCCGGCGGGCGCGTTGTCGCATCGAGTCTGTCTGTCTGAGTCAAAGGGTCGCTTGACCGCGGAGCGGTCGCCAGACAGACGGACGACCCATTCACGCCGTCACGCAGACGGAAGCGCTCGAGCCAGGCCAAGCGATCGGTGTCGCGTCACTAACTTGTTACGTGCAGGGGGAGCGCCCCC